TGTAAGATATGATTATAAATTTGGCTATTCCACTCTTATTTTGTTATTTCATAAAACAACCTAATTTTATTGACATTAAGTTGAACTTTATGATGCCATATATTTATTTTAAACTAACAAAATTGAATCAAGTAAAATTTGTTTTGAATTATGAGATACATAGACTTCAAGAGAAATGTACATCAAAACATCCTAAATTGTTGCCTTTTCCTTCTAATTTCAGGAGAGTTTTATTTGTTTATTGTTATTATTTTGTTTCAAACTTTCAAGTGGAAGACCAAATTATGAGCTTATTTGAAGCCAATGGAGGAGGTGATGGAAGCATTGAGATGCTTGGATCTTTCGAGTCAAAATTTTGAGCTTTAACTTAATTGTATATAATGAAGATTTTTTATGTAAATATCAAATCCATAATATCCATATATTAAAATTGTGAATAAAAGAGGTTGTTAGATCCATAGTATTTTTAAATGGATCAAAATAAATAGGAATTAATCTTTTTTTTTTTATATTCGTGTGTTCGGATCATCTTGCGCGCACCTTGACTATTCACGGACCAACCGCCTGACCCTATTACATTTGGTTGACAAGGAAACTCGTAGGATATTAAATCCTAAGTAGATGACCACTATGGTTTGAACCCATTCCCGTCTAAGCCCTTGCTATTTACATTGGCCCTCATTGACCAAACATGAATTAATCATTTGTTAACGATAAATATTTAGGTATGACTATTTTTTTGCATAAGGATTTTTGGAGTTGTATTGGATGTTTGAGCATTATTGTGATTAGGTTAATATTATTTTGTTGATCAAATTTTAGAGAACAAAAACATCTCGTGTATTTACCAAACTGAGACACTTGTCTCTAATCAAAAGGTCATGAGTTCGAATCCTTCCATTGTACTAAAAATTTAAAATTTTAATGTACTTCAATCATTTGACATTATTAAAAATATTTTAACGCAATATTTTAAGAAACTCATTTGTACATAGACTAATGAGATAATTATATTTCGAATCATATGAGAACTAGTAAAATAAAGATGTAGAAAGGACAATTAGGAGTGACACGTGATTAAAGAAAATAAATACATCATAACACATTTGAAAACTTTCCACTAGATTTGATTAATTTTTGAGATATATTAGTAAATTTTACAAGATTAAGAGGCCCCATAAAATCATTACAAGTTATGCCCTATGATTTGGTATTGGCTATTGGATTATTGGGTAGAGGATACACTTTTTGGCATCAATATAAAATCAAATGGGCATACAAAATGTTAGAATAGACAACCAAATGATTTAGACACTTCATTCTAAAAAATAAGGTGGTGGAAAATTTTGCTCAAGTTTGCATTTTTAAGGTGAGGAATCTTTTTTCTTTTTTGGGCTCTAAGCCATTTCAGACCAAAAAAAAAAAAAAAGAGAGAGAGATATGTTTGAAGAAGTGATATTTTGAGTATAATAATGTGTAACATCACTTTGTGACTTAAATTGTCATTATTTTGATTAGGCGTGAATTATAATTTTTCTTGGGAGGAGTGCAAATTAAACTACATTGATCGTCCAATCTAAATATAGCTAAATTGGATAAGACATATATCATCGACTAAAAAATCGGAAGTTCAAATCTGCACCCCTACATGTTGATGTTGTTTTTTTTAAACAACAATGCAAGAAACTAAAGAACAAACGAAAAAGAAGTACAAGAAGGCCAAAACGAGCATATAGCTCAACGGTAATTGACATATATCTCCAACCAAGAGGTTGTGAGTTCGTTCCCTTCCCTCACCTCCACATGTTGTACTAAAAAAAAGTGCAAGAAGGTTGTACGTTACATCTATGGCACAATGTCACGTGCTTGAATACCATAGTGCAAGTAACATATCTTTTAAATCAATTGTTGTTACATTACTTGAAGTGCATTTTGTGGGTAACGGCTTTAAGATTATTCAAAGAGTATGTTATGAATGTTTTTTATAATAAAAAAAAGTTGTGATATTCTCCATTTGATTATAGTAGGATCTATAGCGGTAACATGTCTCATTTCATATGAACAAGTATAAATCTATAATTTTATCTCGCCATATTCTTACCATTTGATTGTTCTTGTTCCTAAAATTTAGGACTTGTAACCTCATTATTTCACAACAGTCAATTTTAGATTAAATATTGCTTTTAATTTTATAAGATATGTTTTCTCTGAATTTAATGTGTCTAGATTAGGTTCCTAATCATTTAACAAGTGTCTTGGTTTGCATCTATAATACTTGTTAAAGAATCAGTCATGAGCCTTTTGTTTTTTTGTCTTCTATTTTGAAAATTAAATTTATAAATATTTTTGTTTCGTTATTTTTTTAAAAATGTTTTTAAAATTTACGCCAAATTTTGAAACAAACAAAAAAAGAACCGTTTTTGTTTTTAAAACATAGTTAAGAATTTCAATATCTTGTTTTTAATAAAGTTAATAAAGATACCAAATAAATTGCGAAGAAGCAAACATAATTTTAAAAAACAAAAAACTAATACAAAATTTGACCTAAATTTTTCCTCTTCCAAAGAAAGAAATCAATATTTCCATGCCAATAGAGAATATCTTCCCCTTTGTGAGGGATAATCCGAATACTAAATATAAGAATGAAGGTATCCATTCAAATTTATTTTTTCTCGAAAAAAAGGTAGAAGTTCGTAAGAATTAAATGTGAAGACTATTATGAGTGTTTAAGCCAACTTGTGTGGACCACGACAAATTTCACGAGACAACCATTACCCTACTATATTTGGTTGCCAAGAAACTATGTAAGATATTAAATCTTAGGTAAATGCCTGCCATAGTTCGAACCAATTCCCCTAAACCCTTTACTATATACACTGGCCTTTACTGACCACTCGGTTGTAGTTCTGTAGGCCACCATTTTAAAGTGACACTTTTCCTATAAATACTTCTAAAAAGAAACAATAAAATTAATATTTCCCAACTCTAGGCTACGCAAGCCCGAATCGAGTATAGCTATGAACCAAACATCCCCACAACGAATTAAAGGTGAGGACTACCGATGGGAAGAAGAAATCATGTTCATCATTCGAAAATTTGGTTTTTGTGTTTTTGTGGTTTTTTTTTTTTTTGGAGTGGTTGGTATGTTAGACTTGTGATTTACCCTAAGGTTAATCTAATTTGAGAGCCTATATTATTTTGAAAATAAAGAAATATTTCAATCCAACTTTTCCCCCTTGATGTGCTTCTGGTAATCATACATACAGCAATTTGAAGGCAAAAAAAGGAAACAGAGTGAAATCCATGAAAAGAATCCAAAAGCACTGAAGCAAAACTCAAAAACTGTCATCATTCTGCTTTAGAAGATGGAACATACTTTATGATGAGTTTTGTTGGATACTATGCCTTAAAAACCCTAAGGTCCACATCTTAATCATATCTTCCATTTCACCTTTTCCCTCTTTTTCTTACCTTTTTTCCCCACGCTTTCAAACCTTATAATTACTTCTCTTGATTATTTCAGGTGAAATTGGAGGCCAACCCACAAAACCCATCATCTTCCTCCTTCACCTCCTCCTCTTTTTGGTGCTTCACAAACCTAAGCTGTTCCATACTCTAAATGACAAGAATGATCAAGAATTCAACTTGGATCCTACAATTCATATGAAGGAACACTTGCTTTTCATTGTAGTAACGACTCAAACGGGAAGGGATATAAACAACGTCCCATCATAGTATTATTGTATTTATAATCGTAAGTGTCTATTATGTGCACCTCAACTAATCTTAATGGACAACACCTGACCTTGCAACATATAGTTGTTAAGAAACTTTCCTATCATATTCCAGGTAGGCCACTATAAAGTTTGAACCTATTCCTCTAAAGTTCTTTTACCTTTTTCACAAACCCATGATGATTGTAGTAGTTTCAAATTTTGCCATTGCTTCTACAGCAAAGTGTCATCTTGAAGGAAGATAATTGAGGGCAATTTTCATTTTGGCTTCTTGATGAAAGTGCAGAAAGCTAAAGGGCATCCTTGTGGTGTGATTGTGTACAGAATACAGGTAGAATTAAAAGGAAACAGGGGGGAAAAGCCAGCAGTTTAAGTTCTATCAATAAGGAAGAATTTTGTTTTTCACTTGTCAACCACTATGGAAGAGCCTAGAAAGTATTCCATTTGATCATTAGTCTTACTAAGGCTTAAAGGAAAGAAAAAAGAAAAACAAAGTGCCTCTACTCGGTGCCTGCACACTTGTTTGTTAGTTTTAGCTCTAAAGTTTCTACCAACATTGCCTCTTCACGGGCATGGCACAATTATATTTGTTGGTTTTAGCTCTTAAGAGAGAGAAAGAAAACTAGTTCCTGTATGTTTCTGTGAATGGAAAATAACATATAGAGAGATCATAAATGAAGAAACAGAGCCCTATTATTTAGAGAAAAATTCAGCAGAATCAAAAAGATTAAACCAGCAAAAACTAATACTTCGACCAGCAAATTTCTGTTAATAGGAGCTGTTCTTAATAACCATAACTAGAGATGATGCTTAAAAAGCCATTATCTAAATATGAAAAAGAAGTATAACAGCTACAGCCCATACAAGGACCAATCATCAAACTTTTGATTCAAAGAGGAAAATGATGAAATCTACTACTACAATATGTATATCAGATAACACAATTATTATACTAGGAATCAAATATTTATGTAATAACCTTTGCACATGACAGCAAACACTCTGTATCGATTCAAACTTCAATCTCAGTGTAGAAGTGAAGGATTAATTCTTAGTATTGGTATTTACCCCTCCTCAAGATCACTTTAAGTATGAACTCAACTGATTTCATTCATATAAAACAATGGTAATATGAATCAAATTGCAAGTATGTTCAGATGACAAAACTGATTGAGGAAACAATGTACTTATCTCAAGTTATCAGAAATATCATAATAACTCGAGAGCATAAGGAAAGATGTAAGAAGTATAGATTGAGAGCAAGAATTTGTTCACCCCAGAAAAAATAAATAAGCATTCATAGATTACTGATCAGTAATTAGTATGATGAGTCATTTCTGAGAGATTACCGACGCTTGGCAGTGTTAACTTGTCGGCCTGTCATGGATATGTTCCAGATACTATCTGCTTGTGCTTTCCTACAATTTCAAAACTAATTCGAGATGGGATCTTGAGGTCGAGTCAACAAGCATTTCCCACAACCACATCCAAGTAGACAAAAAAAAGATTAACATTTTAACTGATATTCTAATATAACATGCAGCTGCCCATGAAAATTCTTGTCAATCTGAATGTGGACGGAAACGAACAATTTTGTTGATAAAGGATCTCTCCTGTCGATAGCTATTCAAAAAACACAGAAACCAAGTTTTCATAAAGGAAGTAAAGAGGAAAAACAAGAAACTTCAAATATTGAGGTTAAAAAATTTACTCACATGGTGAATAATGACACAAGGAAGCAAACCAAACCAATCGAAAAATGAAGTGGAAAAGTTGACCAAAAGTTCTGCTCGTCTTGAAACAGTCTCTCTGAAATAAGGGTCAGAACCCCTGAGAATAATAAAAATATCCATCCTGAAGGCAAGCAGCCGCTGAAGGAAAATGGAGGATTCTGTAGGGTCAAACTAACATTTGTTAATGATAAAGAATTGAAAAAAAAATGTTACACTTCTAATCAAAGCATACCTTGAAGTAGCGTTTGATGAATATGGCAGAGTACGTTATCCTCAAAATCATATCTTTTATAACAGTCAAGAAAATTATATACTACAAAAGTTTCATTTCTTCAATGAGTATCTTTATCATTTGAGTATTCATAAACTTTGTTCTCTATGTCCTATGTCATGATGGAATGTAAAATGGTACCATCTTCTAAAGAAATATCAGGAAGTTGTAACTTAAAAAGTGAATTGCATGAGGAACTAACCATTTATTAAACATATCTATATTCCACAATAAACCATCTTTTCCTCAATGTTGAGGGTGTTAGTTTATTAGAATATCTTAAGATGAGACCAGGCGTAGACTTCTAATAATCATATACCTGAATTTATCCATACTGACATGAAATATAAATTAGATGTTTAGCAAAGACATTATGATCAAAGAGTACAGAAACAGTTCCCTTGAGTATATTGAGAGAGAACATGGTTTCAAAGGTGTGTAGCTAGCATAGTATGGTTTGCACGAAATAAACTGAGTTGAACAGTACACTTGAATTGGATTATGGAAGTACAATCTAAAATGATCATACTAACATGTGAAGAAGTGTCCTCACAGCCAAGAGCTCAAAACACAAAACAAAAACAAATGTTACCAACAAAACAACAAAGTTGAAAGTAAAAACCAGAAGGCTAAATGAACCATCTCACAATCATTGGAAAAGGATACTTATAGAATTTGCAAAAATCAAGCCAACTACTCCCGATGACCGGATCAGCAGAAAATTTAGCATAACATAGATCAATGAGAATAGAAGCAATGAGTCATTTGACTTCTTGAGTTGGCTCTCATTTGCAACAGCATGTAGAAATGCTTCTGAAGTCCCTGATGTAAAATTCGAGTAGTCTAGTAGTCAGGATTAGGAAATATTAGGTGCATGTATATTTATAGATGCTTCTAGTTGAATTTCTGCCACCAAAACTTTTTTGTAACTTCCTTCTTCTTTTATCTTTTTCCGTTATTAATCATGGCTGGTTAGAACTTGGAGGGATTTATATTTAGCTGTAGAGTTTGTGAAGTGGTAGCCTAATCCTATCACCTCCTTCCATAAATTCGTTCCTTTCAATATATATTTTCACAATAAGATATTTTGCTCACTCTAGAATTTATTTTAGACCAGCATATTATAAGCAATAATTCGAATTAAGGCCTCACAGCCTGCTACTCATGGACAAGGATTATCTGGTCCTGAGTTCAGTCTACGTTCAACAGCATCCATTGTCAAATTTCAAGACTTTTCTAGTGTGAACTTGACCATTTTTTTAAAATTTGGTAAATCAATCATTGCAATACCAAAGGTTTCAATGTGCATTGTGCGTGTAGATCCTCTATAATATACTTGTTTTAGTAATTAAGATTTCCTTCGAGTATCATCTTCTAGTATTCTCCAGATAAAGCTATTTATGAAGTAATTATTATTTATAATCTAAAATACAGGCAAATCCAATTCAAATGAAGCAACTAAAAATGGACAGAAACTTCATTTTGAGCCATAGTCTAAAGTTGACTTTTCTATGAGAAATTCAAAAGCTATTTAGCAGTTTCTTGTTCATATATATGCAGAGAGAAAGATAAGAGTTAAAAATAATAAACATGAAATTACTAACCATTCATAGCCAGAACAATGATATACAGGCAATAGTACCGGAGAGCTGTTGGTGCTTCTCCATCACTCCATTTCTGGCCATACAACAACCTAATGAGAGCATACGAATAGCTTGGACCAAATGCCATAAATACTAGGCCTACATGAAATCATAACATTCATTTTAAAGATCAACCTCAAAGTGAGAGAATGGTCCAGCTCAGAGGTTTAATGCTTTGCTAGATAACTTCCAAGAAGTCAAAGGGTAATAGGTGGGAGATTAGAAAATGTTCCATGCAGGCTGAACACCATTTTAAAAATTAGGCATATACATTGAAGATATTTCATTTCAAAAGATAAACAAACTGGAAAGAGAATTCTAAATTCTTTTATTATTGTAGGTATCCAGACCATATCAACGATTTCATATGTACATCGATTAATCCCACAAAATAACCAATAGAACCTACTAAATTTGATATTGAAAAACTCATAGGATATTTAATATTCTAAGCATTGACCATATTCTCAATACAATTTTAACATAATAAAATGAATTCCATAACCATTCAACTACCAGCCAAATTTAGAGAGTAATAGGGCAAAGATTATTGTCGTTGAAGTACCTAAGTTAGTCAACAAGATGAAGAATATTAGAAGATCTTTGGTGAAGCAGACACTATCTGCCTTAATGTCTTTAATGAAATTGTGCTCAAATTAATTATTCAATGGCAAAAATATCATCAAATTTTTATTGTGTGCATTGTGCAAAGAAAAAAAAAGATCATGAAAATGCGGACAAATCAGAAATAATTATATATAGACTATGAGTGTATAATTAATTGAAGTTGCATACCAATCAGCAAAACTAACTTGAGTGCTTCTGAAAGGCAGATACCAAGTTTTCTGCTCTTATCTGGGTATTCTCCTATCAAATTGAGTCAAAACAGTAAATGAAAATTTTGAAGTCGTGAGACGGATTTTTTTCTTTTCTTTCTGGGGTTAGCGTGATAATAGTTCAGGAAAGCACAAACAATTTTCAGAAATGTAAAATAACCATAAATTGTTCTGAATAAGCGAATAGTGTTGATAAAGAATAAGAAGGCAAAACCATCTTCTCTACTAGACTGCTAGTTAGGCAAGATCATCATCCCTACTAGATTGCATAGTTCTGCCCAACCTTTTTTCTAGGCACACCAGGATAGAAAACCAACCTTGTCTCCCGTTGTTGTGTTCTAATGGAGGTGCTGAATAGTGAATACTAAGAGAATCCTTTTTCCCACTTGGTATCTTGAATAAAATCAATATTTTACCTTCCTCATTGACGACATAAGTAAAGGAGAGAGCAAGGGATAATAGGGGAAAAGAAACAAGAGAGTGGGAGGAGGATAAAGGATATCAAAAGTAGAAGGAAGAATGATGAGCAAATAAACTAGACCTCAATGGTAATCCAAATAGGTTGAACAGTGATACTAGACAAAAATCATAAAGACGTTTCTTATTTCGAACTTTATCTCTGGTTTGAATCAATGCACTATTCTTGGATCAAAGACTTGAACAAGCCAAGGGGATCTGGTTAGAGAACAAAGACATATAACAAAAACCCATTTCTTTTGTAATTTGTTTTTTGCTTCCTTTGGTTAGGTTGGTTTTTTCTATGCTCGTGTACATTCTTTCATTTGTCTTAATGAAAGCTCAGTTTCTAATTAAAATAAAAAACAGGAAGAAAGTTTAATATATAAACCTGATGCAGACCTTGCAAATGTAGTGTATGAGCTTTCTTCAAATGGAAGAAAAACCAGTCGCACCACTAAACTCCCTGAAAATTAAGTAAATAACTACTATTAGCATGCTTATCAAGTTGAAGGTAGTAGAATATCAACATCTTCACGATCTTGTCAGCTGAAGTTAAAAAACTTCGAAACCACTCCCAGGACTTACCCAATTTATCTACCAATCCATAAACAGCTTGGTTATATGGTGTATCTAACCACACAAGAACCATCTTTTCACCTTCTTGAAGAACCAACTTTCTGAAGGATTGAAAAGTAAATAATAGGCACATGTTTGAAAGCTTCTTATCAAAATCCTTCACGTTTCCCATTCTGCAAAAATATTTCCATATAAACCACATATTTCCAACAAAGTAAAGAATAAGCGGGGTGTATGCTATCCTTAAATGAAAATAGAATTGCAAAGTGGCCATTAAAAAAATTAATGCCGACAAAGATTTAACTTGAATTAACTTTGTTCAAGAGATACAGCCTCATTGCACTGATCATCTCATTTCAAGTTTAGTAAAAACGATGCAAACTACATGTCCTTCTCTGCAAAACAAATTGCATGTAATTTCAAAATGGTTTTCTCCAGCGAAAGCATTCTGAATCAAATATATATTAAACAAAACTGAGGTGCAAAAAATGCATGTTTGTGTAGATTCTTGCACAACATGCTTATGGCTGATACATAAAAAAATTTCAGGGAGAGAATTAGAATTTTTGTTCAATGCCAACCAAAATAGTTAACAACCCGTAAGGAAACGTAGTGCATAATATGTCAACATAATGATAAGTACCTGAAAGGAAAAAGATCTGACCATTTAAATTCACGGAAAGAAAGAAAGTAGACCCAGTATCCTAGGAACAAGCAAGCACCATATGCAGATTGTGACAAAGCAAATATGATTCCTTTCTCCTGCCAGAAGCCAAAGAACTCTAATTAGTTGCAGCACCTAATATATAATTGTTATGAGGTCTGAGATGAGAGTATAACACATGAATAAACTACGAGACTCATTGACTTCGGCTGTAATTGACTAAGAAGCATGCACCATGTTGCAGCTCTAGGACATTTATCAGCGAATGCATCACAGTCTTAATAATGCACAATATTCCATACAAAAGTGCAGCGCCATATACAATAAGAAACTGACCGACTCTTGGGGGATGGGAGATATGGAAAACACGATAGCCAAGAGGGAGGATGTCTTAGGCTTTCCAGGTTGAATATTATTATTGACAGTCTAGCAGATCTTACCATGTTACCTCGCTTCACCAGGAGGATATACATTGTCATGCACCGTGAAAATGTAGCCACAGTTTCAACTAGAAGCCGCAATTTAAGAAGCAGCAAAGTCTGAGAAAGAATGTATAGGGGCTCTGCCAACAGCTCTAAAATACACGCACATCCTGCCATAAAAGATGGACAAAATTACAAAGGTGGAAAAATAACGTTGTAAGATTTAGTTAATGTTCGAGAGTTTACTTAAAGAAAAAAGGTCTCCAATATGTAATTATCCATAATAATATATCATCAGTTGCTGCAACCTTTCACTTCTATTATGGATGTTCACATATACATTTTGCAAAATATGATTCTAAAATGAATAACACAGGTTAACTTATAAAGTCAAACTAGACTTGTAGCAATTCCAAACGATTTAACAACGATGTAGTAACATATGTCAAAATTTGACACTAGACCAAGTTGGTGACTCGGTAATAGTTCTAATTTTCTATTATCACTCGGAGATACTCCACTCTGCCCAAAATTCTATCCCAATTTAAGTATTTTGCTTCTATTGACGCCATGAATTGTTTGATGTATTTAAAAATACTGATACCCACGAGAAAATAAAAGAAAATTAGAAGGTGCCGAAACACGGTATATAAAGGTTGGAAGCAAAAAGGAATAGGATTACCATTAATTAAGATGGCTTGTGCATATGGATTAGAAAAGACAATATCTTGCCACCAAATAACAAGATAAAATGCAGCAAGAGTAATAACCAATCCAACTGGGAAACTCAACCAGGCTACTTTAAGTAGCCTCCTACTATTTTCCTCCACTGAAGTGCTGTCACTGCATAATATAAAATTAATCTCAAGAGCATTAAATTTGTAGTTGGAATACAGCAACAAAGAATTATAAACCAACATTACAAAAGAAATTTAATAAATGTAGTAGACACACATATAAAATTCAGCAACTTTCCCATTCTCATACTTAAAGGGGCATAATATGTTTAAAAAGAGAAATAAAAGCAAGTATAAAAACAATCCAAAATCATAATTACTGGTGTTCTAGTCAATAGACCTATGTAATTGTTGGGGGAGAAAAAAACCACAGTATAAGCCATTCAAATGGAAAGCAGGCATGAAATCAACATTTTTTAAGAAGTATATAATGGCAAAGAACTGTGTAATGGAGAGCAAAAGCAATTTCAGTACAAAGCTCCAGTAATAGGAATGAATATACACAAATATGTGGTAATTTCATTGAGAATATTTTATTGAGCCAAATATAACAAACGCTAACTGCAAAGTGCTAAATATGGCGGTTGGGGGAGTGCATAAGGCAGCACCTATTATTGTGAGGATGTACCTTAACTCTGCCCGCATGCATGCTCGCCGGAATCCCTCCCGGCTGAGAAACAGAACACATGTAACAAAAAGATGAAATTGTACTGCATAAACCTGCATTTACAGAAAACATTTATCAAGACCGCAAATTTGAAGATAATAGTTCTAAATTCCAACCACCTTTTTGGGGGGAGAGTTTTCCCGTAAGAAAATTTCAAGCGTTAAACAATATTTGATAAATCCACTTTTTCTTTTTCGTTTTAGCTGTGTCTCCACAATTGACTTCCTGAGGTGCTAACTTACATGGTCGTGAGTAATATTAAGATCCAATTTTTCAACGTTATGTAGCACTGCTTAAGAAATATCAACAAATTGTAAACACAATATAACAGATAACCCGCTCAAAATTCACCATTGGGTCTATTGTCAAATCTTCAAACCAAACAAACAAATGAAGCTCACATAACAGAAAATGCACCCGATCAGAGCTTCTAATCCAAATTTCTGAAATAAATAAATTTTAAATGGAGGGAAAAAAGAGGAAGACAACAAGAGCTCAGTGACAATGCATCTAAATTCCAACAAATAGAAGAGAGATGAACAAGAACAAGTACCGCATAATCTTCTTCTGTGAGATGCCTCACGATCCACAAATTGAAGATGAATGGAATGCCTCTTGACAGGAATTGAGTAGCTAGATCATAATGCAAAAGAAAGATCAGATCGTTAAGACACAAGCTGAAGCTTCATTTATGAATGAACTAAGAGATATAGCCATTATGCACCTCATCTGATTTGACTCAACGCCCCTACTCCCATAGAAAAAGAAAGAAAAATAGAAAACTAAGAACCTGGTCACTCAGACCTTGTCATTTTGTACTAAAAAGATAATCTCACAACCCAAACCATCTACAATCAACATCCTGAAAATAAGCTAGCTCGTAGACTACCGGGGTATATATAACTGTTCAGAATTAACATTTATCCTTATTTTACTCTGAAATCAAAAACATCAATCCGCAGGAACTTTCTTTACCTGCTTACAGGCCACAACTTCACCATGATTAATTGGAGAAGAAAAAAGAAATCTCGGCCAAATTAATATACTAGGGCACAAAAACGCATGGAAACACACCGAAAAGCAGCTAAAGATTGAAGTTTTAGCTAACCCATCAAGTATTTAAAAGTGCGAGGGAGATTGGTAGCGTCGTTGGGTGTGGCCATTTGAGATTGAGCAGCTCCAGGCTTCGGCATTTGATAATGGAACAAACTTAATTCATCCGGAACTTCCTTTTCGTTGTTGAATTTTCGAGCAAAGACTGGAAGTGGAACCAGGTTCGATAGTCGCGCACCGCAGAGTTGGGTGTGATGCCGGCACGTTAAAGCTGCCGCGAGAAAGACCAGATTGAACCGGTTTGGTTTAGTTTGGTTGGTCCGAACAACCTTTCCCAACCACAACCACAAATGGAATCGATTTTTTGGTTCTTAAAAACCCAACCAAACTTGAACTGCCAACTTATCGAGTTGGTGTAGCAGGATATGTTTTTGTTTCATCTTCTTAGACTTGTCTTTGGAAATCACTTTAGACACCATTTCTGCCCACAAAGATCAAATGTGAGGGTGATGTACTCGTTGAAAGCAATAGCGTTACCTGCCTTTGGAACCACCAATTATCAATTATATCCCAACATTTTCGTCAATAATTGCAATATTAGTGTTCAACTTGTATGTATCTACTATAATATTCCTATTCAAATATCAAAGATATATCATGCCTTATACCATTTTGCCCTCTGGTCATTGCAAATTGTAATGAGGCTAAGCTGTAGAAATTAAACGAAAATTTGACGGTCATCTTATAACATATTTTCTATTGTTCATTGTAGGCATTGGGCTTGTATTTCAAACTTCAGTCATTTCATAACAATTATGTGTCAAAACTTTCATTTTCATGTTGTGGTTGCATTCTTTCAACTGTTGAATTTTCTACCCATCATTGATATTTTATGGAGGAAAAGTTCACCGATTGGTTTGGAAAAATAATAAAATTAAAGACTTTCGCAGCAAAAATAAGGAACCGGAGTTTTCTCAAGAGAACCAAAAATGTATCCGCATGAAACACTCCAGAAACCACACCAGTTCGACTAATCATAAAATTAAACAAAAAACTTGGAAGAACTGAAGTTCCTTTTTGACAACCAATCCATTGGGCAAAACTCAAACATGAGATTGAGATTGAACCTAATAATGAAGTCACTGAGATTAACGGTAGCGGCGAAGAGAGAGAGTGTTGTTCCTTTTCCATGTTGCCCTTCTGGAAGGTCTGGCCTTGTGGTGGAGATGGCCTTTTCCACGAAGACCTCTGTACTTCTTCCCAGCAGATGTGAGTCCACGAAGTTCCCTGTGCTTGTGAACAGGGTTGCAGATCCAGTTTATTCTCGGGTCATTACGAACAGCATTATGGGCCACATCAACCAAGATTACTTCATAGTACTTGTATGTCGAATCCTGGAAAAACAAAGAGAGATTATCAGAGAAACAATCGAGAATGCAACATCCAAAACTTCAGCAAAAACAACTTAGAGATAATTACGACTCAAAATTTTCACCAACAGGTATATTAGGATCCATACGAACACATACAAGGAATAAACATATGTCAATGTGAAGTTGTGTAAATTTCATCTTAATAATTGGTTGTTACCTCATTAATCCAGTAGGAGTTGAGAACCCTGAGACCACCCAACTTACGCCCAGCACGCTCCTCAGCAACTGAACGCTTGCTGCGTTGGAATTTCAACTGAGTAACACCCTGGTTTGTGGGCTTACCATACACAATACCCTTGGGAACAGGCCTCTTTCGCCCACCACGCCTCACACGTACACGGTAAACAACATAACCCTACAAGGTTGTAGCTAAGATAAGAAAATGCACAGTAGTTGAAAAAATGGCCAGTTGCATATGAAATAACCATATTTCAGATCTACGTTATAATGTGGAAGATTAAACATTCACAATACATTCTCTGTTCCTGTCAAACAAGTATCAGCACTATAGCCAACCAAATGTACACTGCTTGCACAACCGCAATAATGTCTGTCCCCTTAATTTGGACAAAGGTATAATTTCATCAGTACATGTCCATACTGTAAATCAAGCTATCACACCACAAATAAAAGATGTATATCAACATTAAATGGAGAAAGAAATAACATTTACAATATTATCATCGAAAAGAAACATGGTTACAGAGTGCTTTATCCAAAGATTTGAAATATAAAGAGGCAATATGAAGAAAACGATACATCAGATTTCATGGTACCCAAAATCCATTCATTGCAGGTTTGCAGTACAATTTAAAAATTTACATCCGAGAGCTCAGACCTTTTACATGAAGCATTCCACCAATTAACAAAACATCAAATAGAAACTTTCGTAAGGGTAAGAATAAGGAGGACATACAGATTTTCTCAATGTGAAAGAAGAGAAAGTCAGTTTAGGCAAACGTAAGTAATGCATAAACCAAGGATAGGTGTATCACATTATTATCATAAAGGAAGTATCAACTTCTACATGTATTGTGCACTAAGGAATTTTGCAAGCTAACAATTTTAATACTTTCTCGGGAAAAACGGGCAGCAGAAGGAATCAAAACTCGTACTATCTCACTAACTATCAGGTTAGATTTTAAATATGTTGTGAAGCTCAAACAGAAAATGCATAATAAAGCAAGAACAAGACAGCAAGTTGTGTACCTGTTTAGCCTTGTAGCCCAATCGGCGTGCCTTATCTGGGCGTGTGGGATGCGTAACACGAACGATTGAAGGATGCTGGCGATATTCCCAGCATCTTACTCTTTGCAGAAACCTCATCACATCGGACTGCTTCTTCCTCCATAGCTCAGACACGTACTTATAAGCTCCTGATAACGCACCAAATCAACGTCAAACGCATAACCAGGATTCAGATAACGAATTCTCAAGCAGAACAAAACACTACAAAAACGAAAAAGAGAAAAGAAAGAGATCTATGGCAATTCCATTCTATTTGTTCGAACATAATCAATCAAAATGCTTCGTAATTTTGGACCCTTCTCGCTAAATCTTAAGCAACAACTAGTGCCAACATACAGACATAAAATTTGATGAATTGTGCCAAATAATAAAAATGCAGGATGACATTAACCGTTGATTGAGTAAATTTACTGGGAAAGATCAAAGAACTTTGGGGTTGTGCAGAAATTCATACCCATTTTTGCAGCGTACGGCGGAAAGGACGAATTAGGGTTAGAAACTCGAGCTACATAAGCGTTATATAATGTATGGTTTTACGACCTAGGGTTTTTTAGGGCGGGGATGGATGTGCTTAAGATTTTGGCACTTTTACAATTTTATCCCTTGTTCTAAGAATGGTTCTCTTCTAAATAAAACGCAGTCGTTTTGAGTGCTGTCGAAATTATATGTCTTATTAATTCGGTTTAAACTTTAAAGTAACTTTGAAAATAAAAAACAAGTTTTAAAGTTTATTCAGGAAAGGAAAAAAAAAGGATTAAAGCAGGTGATTTTTTTTTTTAATTTTACTTCCTAAGTTACTAACAAATTATTTTTCATTTAACAAATAATTTTTGAAATTTTATATACCAAATAAGAATAAACTACAAAAAAAAAGATAGATCGCAAGTTAGATTATCTTGAATTAAAAGTTGTTTGAACTTGTAATCTCGAGGGGTGATATACTTAACTCAAATCAACCAAAAGTTAGATTCGAAGATTTATTTACGTATCTCTATATAGGTGTGTATTTGGTTAAATTATATTTTTAATCTAAAAATGTTGATGATTTTTCCTTATTCAATGCTTAAAAATTGTGAGAGTAGTATCATCTATTATTTCATTTAAGAATGATGTGGGGACTAGTAGTATTGAATAATTATCTATAAAGAAAAATTAAGGGTGTGAATAAATGAAATATGTACATACATAATACCAAAAAAAATTTCACAATACATGGTAGGCTAAACCGTATTGAGTGGGTTAAATACACTGATGAGCTCCAAAAACCAGCGTCCAATTCACTTGACCATTCAACCCTAAGCTGGTCACCATGGTACAAACTCCTTTTATTCTAAATCCTTTACTATTTACCGTAATTATTATTGGCACTACAACAACTCAGATAGTTAATCCTATAGCATGATAGGCGATAGGCCCGTGAATAGTCGAGGTGCGCGTAAGCTGCCCGACACACGTATAAAATAAAAAAACCTCAGATGGTTAATGGGTTATTTTAAAATAACTCAAACATCAAATGAAGATCATAAGTAAGAGAAAATTTACAATATCAACATTGTCATCTGTCAATCTATTCCATAGCTAGAAATCAGAGACAATAAATATGTTTTTTTTTTTTTTTGGTATTAGAATCAACAAAGGAGGCAGTTTGGTCAAGAAATTCACATCCTAAGACCATCAAAATGAAACTTCCTTACCAAGTCAGCATCTTCAGCAGTTCCACTTACAAGTAGTACACACAGCCTAAGCCAGAGCCAGCCATCAAATCTATTGACATTGCAGCCTTTGCCTTCTTCTCTTCTTTTTGGTTGTTCTATCCACAGGCATAGTTTTTCACATTAATCCTTAGTCAGTCACTGCATTCAGCAGGGAACTAATATCTGGCGTCACAACGACTCGTTTTCCGACATCTCCGAGATCACAGCAGTGTCCCTCTTCGGTGTTGATTGCCACAACATGTTGAAGAAAGCTGCAGTTTGAACCAGAAGAAACCTGCAACAAAAAGCCCCAAAAAGAGAAACCAAAAAGAAATTACAAGGTCTAACTAATCCCCAAACATCAAGAACAATAACAAAAAACGAACTCCTTGATGCTCTATTTCGATTTATAGGAAGCCAATGACATATTACTCACGTCGTAGAGAGTTTCTCCAAGCCTCAACTTAACAGCTCCACTCTTGTATATCAGTAGTTTCCCCATATATCCACCAGGCAATTTCTTCAAATCGCCGAGCTCTGACGTGCCTTTGCTGTTCGAAGATCTCGAACTTCCTACTTTCTCCTTCCTTGTTGCAGTAGATGATTGTTTGGGTAAAGGAAGACAGGCAGGAAGCTGAAAAAAGTACATAGTCTTCTCCTCCTTTTCCTCCTGCTTCAAATGGCCACCATATTATAACTAGTTTCTAAATGAAGAAAGACTACCAAAAAGTATATGAAATAATCCACAGTTATCAATCCAAATACCAACCAGCAATTCTAGATCTAATGCAGGTATTGCAGCGTTCTCGTCATACTCCCTATCCGGTGCATCCAGCCCGAATTCAGCTTTATCAAGTAGTTCTAAAATCAGAAGCTGGAAAGTTAGCAATTACAGAGCAAAGCCAGAATGATCCACCACCAAGGTAAAATGTTCATTGCAACATAAATAAGCAAGGATTCATCCACCATTAATCATCCATAGTCATTAGTTATTGGGAGTCTGCTTTTGTTTTCAAGGTTGATTTTGAGCACTAGAGATCACTTTTCACAAACAAAAACTAATAGTGAACCAAGAAATAGAGACATACCTGGGTGTCCGGAGTAAGGCTTCCGTAAAGGAAGCGTATTGGGATAGTAAGAATGATGGTAATCCTGAAAAGCATCTCGAAATCGGGATGTTAATCTATAAGTGTGTGCCGCAAAGGCGAGATAGAGAAAGAGAGGGAGAGATTACCCAAGGTTCTCTGTAATCCTTCTTGGCCTTGGTTAGTACCACAGCATTGGTAGCCATGGCGGATTCGGGTGTTCCATCTTCGCTTTTTTGATCGAAAATCATCCCATCTTCTTCAACATCCACAGGGAGAGGCAAGATAGATTCCTCATCGTCAGAAATTTCAGGCTCAATGTTATTTTTTCTACTACTGTTCCCCACTTTGGGAACGCCATATGTTCTTATGGAAGATGATGCTGATGCTGCTCCGGGACCAAATGCAACTTGGACTGAAGCTGCAGATATAAACATGAAAATGGAGATCATAGTAAGGCAAAAATGGAAACTTCATCTTATCCTCGTCTCTGTTGATCAGTCATAGCAAGTAAAATCATATTTACTTAAATCTTCCCTTGCTAGAAACTTGGGATTTTATTTTCTCAATCTTATCCTTATCTGTGACTCTTTTACGAATGAAAATTAATCGATTAAATACAGAGTTCTTTATATCAGTCGAAAAATCTTGATGAATGAAGACTTTACGTTTTTTCTCGACCTTGGTCCCACGTTTTCCAAGATTCTCCTGTAAATTGGAAAAAAACCAAATCAATATCAGTATTAAGACCAAATGAAGAATGTCGATTGTTGCCCTTTTCATTATATATCCATCATTTGGGGATAGAGTCATTACATGTTTTATATACAATCATGTTAGTAAATAAAGAAAATGTCAAATAAACTAAAAAAATATTCAAACTCATCCAAAATCAAATTGCCAAAAAAAAAAAAAAAACTAAAATTTAGCAACGAAATGTTCGATACAACTAGACAAATTTGTTTCACACATTGGATTGGTATAGTTGAAGTGATTAAGCATCCATTCATGGATTATAAGTCAAATAGTTAGCTCTAATGCCACAAAAATCAATTTAAAATAAAAGTTTAGATATTAAACTAAGTACAAAGTACAACAATATTTAAAAAAAGAAACAAAAAGATCAAGTCGTCAAAGAAAGAAAACATGTTTCTATTATTACTTCTTTTTTTTTAAGGCAAAAACATATCTATACTACTATTACTGTTATATAAATATATAGATTTTTGCCTTTTAAGTTAAAAATGAAAAAAAAAACAATATAAAAAATTGTTTAAATACTTTTTGGTGCTGGCAATGTCTTTTCAACTTTTGTTTATCTTACTTCATACAATTTCAAAACATCATATTTGGTTTCCGTACTTTTAAAAAGTGATTATACAAAATTTTAATATAAATTCTACGTAGATTTATGACTACATTTCAAGAATTTTAGAACATAAAATCTTATTTGGAATTTTGCTAGAAATAAATGAGATAAAAACTAAAATGAAGATCATGTATAAATACTAAAATCAACATTTTAAAAATATAAAAATTAGATAAAAAATTTAAAAAAATTAAAATAAACGTTTTGAAAGTACCGTAATAAAATATTAGAACAAAAAATGTATTAAAAAAAAGACAAGTCTTAAAAGTTAATTTAAGAAAGGCTCAAAGTCGAGCCATACACGTGTAAACCGTAAACACACAAATGTCCTCCAAAATTAATTTCATTTTCATCTCACAAGAAAGGGAAACGCAAACGCTGCGTTGGTGAAAACGAAATTCATTTCCATCGATTTTTTTCTTTTTTTCTTTTTTTTTTGATTTTTTTATCGGGAAGCAAACGGAAACTTGTAGTAAACCCAAAACGTCGCTTGCAAGTGGGAAAATTCAAACGCTTTAATATTTATCCACAAATCTGATCTCTCCAAAGGTAAACTCAGAGAGATTATGTAAAAGCAAACAAGAATTCGAAAATCACAGAAAGAACGAAGGAGCTTACGGTGGCGCGGCGCAAGAGATACCGAGTTTGGGCAGCATTTTGATTGCCGTCTTCGTCTTCGCTGGAAGAGATTAGGCAAAACAACAAGATTGATTACTGTAACTTTTTGCGAATCCAGAAGCCAAAATATGGAGAAGGAAAAGGAAAACTCTATGAGGAATTAAATTCAGAGGAGTACGGTTTTGGCGCGGGGGGTGGCCTTTTGCGCGGTGTGGGTTTTGGGGCAAATTTAACCTGCAAAAACGAGTGTTCAGATCTAAATCGAAGTAGAAGAAAACGAGATTTAAGGAAAATAAAAAATCACCTTTCTGCGTGGACGAGATGAAGGATCCGGATTCTTCATGGCTGGAGGTTGAAGATGACAAGGGAAAGGGAAGGGAAAAATGGTGAAAATGAAAAAAGGGAAGGTTCGAACCCTAGACCAGACGGATGAAAGAAATGATGTTTTGCCACTGAAGACACGCTGTTTACAAGACCCCAACTTGCAAATTTAAATACAAATATATATAATTATTTGTCTGGGAAATGCCAAAAAATAATTTTGAATTTTTCATTACTTACATTTAAATTTTTTATTGTTTTATAAATTATAAGTTTCATTTTTTTAGGGGGAAAAAGAAAGAAGAGAGAACAAAACTATTGCCACTCTCAATAGTTTCTCTTTCTTCTCTCTCCTAAAGGCTAAATTAAATTTTTATCCCAATACTTTTTTGAGTTTTATTATTATTATTATTTTATTTTATAAATTTTAGTCAAATTGTTTAATGTGGAAAAACATATTGGTCTCTAAATTTTGAAAAATAACTATTTAGGCTGTTCCTATTGTTTTTCACACAATTAATATATTACTTACCAACTTATAATATTTGTTTTAACTAATCCATATGATTCTAATAAATGTATTCAAAACTACATATTTATATCTTAAAATCAAGATTAATATTAAGATAAGAAACATTAAGATAAGAAACAAAATGACTGAAATATAAAAGAGGAAAATGAAGGTTTAAAGTTGAACTCTATTTCTCGTCTCAATGGAAGATTCAATATATTATATTGTTATCAATCTAGATATAACTTGACTAATTAAGGAGACTACGAAATTGAGTTCGAATCGCTACCTTTATTCTAAAAAAATCATTCCATTTTTTTCTTTTAATTTCACCGTATAGCATAAATCTCACATCAATTTTGTTTTTTTTGGTTTCACTGTCTTCCTTCTCCAGCTGTTAGTTTCAAATTTCCACTGGTTCATTTTTGCTTTGTTCACTTGTTTAATTTAAAGTTAAAATACTAGTTTTTTTACACCCATTTATATAAAGATTTAATCCTTAAACTTTAATATATAACATTTAATTACTACCCTGACGATTTAGACCCTAAACTTTAATATGAAGTTTGTAACTATTTAATCTCTATCACAATGATAAACTAAAAAATGATTAATAACATTGACATATGATTTTAATGAGATTTTTTTTTAGTAGTGACTAGATTATTATAAATTTCAATTTATAAATTGTTGTGTACTACAGTGTGGAACTAAATTATCATGAATCTAAAAGTGCACAAAGACAAATCATTACAAAGTTAAAAACTAACATTTTTTTAGTAAAAATACAAGGAAGAAGCGTATATTTTAGCCTTAATTTATCTATACAAATATTGTCAAATTGTCAAAGATGTTATAGCTTTCCATTCTCAATAACCGTTTACAATGTCAACCCCTTTCTTACTGCTAACAAAAACATGAAATCTTGTTCAAATTTACATCTCATCCATCCTTAAAATTTGACTAGAACTCAAAATAGTTTTTCAAACCAAGCTAACGAAAATCATTTTTAAAGTGTTTATTTATTTAAAACCATCACCAATCGAATCATCATCAAAGCCGTCTATATTGTAGCCTAAAAAATAATCAAAGGAACAGAATGCAATGCAATCGATCAGTAATACAGTCAGACGAACAAGACAAGATAAAGAACCATACGAACAATTTTGGAAAAGCATACGGTTTTTTCAAACCCATAGATATTGAAGAGAATGAATGAAGCAGCATAAGTTTGATGATAGTTCTTATAGCGGTTCCCCCCTGCAGAACCAGCAGCAAAATTAGAAATAAATTAAGCCCGCAGCTCTTTCTACGATTTGTAGAAGAATTATGAACGGCCCATGACTTCTGCCATGAAAATGAAAATGCAGAACATAAAAATAGGGAGAGGACCAAGATTTTGCAGATACCAAAGATTAGCCATGCAGAAGATATATGGTATAGTATAAGACTCCAAAGTAACAGGAAATAATACAATTTTTGCTCTTCTATTACTATAATTATTGGGACTTTCAAAAAAAAAAAAATATTTGCAGTTAACACTCCCTCCTCCCCTCGAACACCACAAAAACATCCTCCCACCCTCCACGAATGAGGTTCCTGTTATGAAACATACAGACAATTGTAAATCAAGTTCTTCATCATCAGCAACAATCCACGACCTTCGTGGCAGACAGCAGGAGCCACCCAGTGCCACTTTTATCATCTAATGGCGATTGACCTTAACAACTCACAATTATTATGTTAGCCAAGTGTCATAAAAGCAGCTCAGGAAAGCCCAAAACCCCTAGAGAAACATCCTTTCACGTCTCTAAGATTTCAGCCATCAGACCATCTAAACTAAACAATGTGTTGTGTACAAAAGAAATAAAGGCACACAAACAAGTACAAGAGACTTGAAGACCTTTCCTTTCATTTCCTTTCCATTTAGGAATGAAAGGTAAGACACTCTCCTCGTTCCTCACTGCTGTAACCACCACAACCAACAGGCGAAGCGAGACTTAAGGTGCATGGGACACAACAACAAACTAAATGCTAATCAGACATGTAACTTGAAGCACAAGAATCATGATTTGACAGGCATCCAACCAACTCTGTAACAACATATAGATCAAAGAGATGTTGCCTAAGCATGAAAGACTACATGCTAATCAGACAAATATTGCCCAGGCTATTTGAATGAAATTCGAGTATGAAATGAACTGCCATCATCATGTATGTATTGATGGCAAGGATAAGGATCCAACTCTGTGAAGTCTGATGATATTAGTAGAACCAGCAACATAAATTTGTCGACTCCTAACAATTACTAATATAGAACACTTCAGCTTGGAAGATACTCCCTGAAGGAACAGGCGTAGCCCGTTGAGATGAAACCTCCTCTCTACTGCTGAATGTAAGAATGTAAGAATGAAAGAAGCACCACAAATATCACTCCAAATTTCTTAGAATAGAGTGACTACTGTCAATGAAGAAAATAAAGGTGGTATTTAATAATAATGATAAGGTCTCACATATGTCCTCTAGAAACCAAAGTGGTACTCACGACACGTAGAAACACGTGTTTGGAATTTGGATTCTCCAATCATGTCAAGGAAGTAACCCGTCGTCCATAATTAAACTAAACTTCTCATAGATGAATCATATCAAACTTTAGCTCCACATAATCATGGAAAATATAAATTATCAGGATAAAAAAAAGAAAGGACCTAAATTTTGTAGGATGGGCGCAATTTAAACTTGATAATTTACCTGAACCACTAAAAAATTCTTCATACAAAGAATACAAATTATAAGGTGATATACCATTGACCTGGCTGCGGTTGTTAGTGTCTTGAACCTTATCATCGTCCAACCGAATGAAATAGTTGACACAAAATCTAGGTTATTGACCTATGTTCAAACCTGCCTGCCAAGGAAAACTTTTTCAAAAGCTTAGTCCAATCTTTCCTTTTCCTTTTTTTATTTTTTTATTTTTCTAAATTTCTGTTTTCATTTAACAACCAGCAGCAATTTTTCTAGCATTTGGACACAAGCCAGTGAAAAAATTGACAATCAGGAATTACAATATATGAACTAACTAGCCTGTGATTTAAGTTTAACAAGTCTGACATCTTAACCTGCCACAAGAGAACTATAAAAAGACATCAGAAAAGATTATAAACGTGAAGAAAGGATCAAACACGCTATAAATTAAGACAATTTTTCCACATACCCAAATGCGTCAAAACTGTAAGGCACGATCCCTTCAAGATGGATTGATGGAAGGCATGAAGAATATCATCACCACTAGCATAATACTAAACTCACTTAGAACCCTCAAAACAGAAGGCATATTATGCAGAATAGAAACATGTTAGCCCAAGCAACCAACATGCATCTAACAAAAGAAATGTTAAAACACTTATTCCTTGTACCACACCATCGCATGGAAACCTGAGGGCACAATTACCTGCTGGATCAATTGAAGGAACGCATCAACGCCATGACATTAAGTGATTACTTAGAACATCAAAACAGAAAGCGATGATTAATAAATTGTTAGAATAAGCAACAAGTATCTATCAAGAAATATCATTACCTATATCTGTGAAGTAGGTAATGAGAAAGTCCAAATAATTATAGTAATAGAAGAGCAAAAATTGAACCAGACATTGTTAGATAGCAAACGCAATAGAAACAGAACCAAATCCTTCAATAATAATATGCTCGAATTTGCTCCTTCAATACAAGGTAGTGTGTGACAAGGACTCCTAGCCTGAATCTCTGCAAATGTCAAGACAGTACAGCAAGGTTAAAGAGGTGAGTCCCAAACTTCCAACAAAGTCATGGCAAGAGGTAAGTAATCAGCTCCAAGAAACATCAGTCCTGTCAAATTTTACATGATACCGGTGGATGATTAATAACTGCAATAATAAGCAAGAAATATTCGTCACAAAAAAAAAGGTGTTAAGAAAACTACAAATCATATTCACGTGAAAGATGAGTGCACTGCAAGTTCCCACCCAATACTAACATCGTGTAAGAGGATAGCAAATCAGTGGAGTAGAGAAAATGGCACACGTAACCATATCACTCCCAATATTCATCAGCATGTTAGAGGGTAGCAGATACAGGGAAAAAAATAGTACAAGCCTCAATAACCCATTTTAACAACGTGTAAGAGGATAGCAGATCGTGAAGTACAAAAAGGTAAAGTAACTACTTTTTTCTTATAGGCTAAGTATATATATTTTAGTACCCAAATATTTGGGTCCTTTATTCAATTTAGTCACTAATCTTTCAAAAGTTTTAATTTCATCACTTACCTATTGATTTTTTTTTCAGGACCTTATTGTCCCAAAACCTAAAAATTAAAAAACAAAATAATAATGTATCAAAATGAAATTTATCAATTGAGTTGAAAACATCGTATAGAAATATCACCCACCAATAAAATAAAATAAAAACTTACACATTTCATATGACTTAGCTCATAGTAACTTAAGATGGATTACATGCTGAAATGCTTCAGATGCAAAGAAATGAATATTCCAAAAATCTATACTATTCTATATGTCCTCCATAAGTGCAACTTTATAACCATAGCATGCAAAAACTAAGAGAACGAAATACTAGCCAAATAATTTGCAACACTATGTTTTGGAATAACCTCAATTAAATAAATAAATCTAAATTTGCTGGAGACGAAATAGATTTTTTTCCCCGATAAAAACCAGATGAGTGTTGACAAACAAAACAATATTCTACTCCTACAGCAGTATTGATCCCTCCATATCCATGGCTACAGAGTTAACTTGATCCTGTTTGGCTGTTCAAAAATCAGGACTAACCATACTGGAGGGAGAAACATATAAAACTGATTAGTCAAAAAATAGTTAGGAATTAAACGACCAAGAAAACAACCCAATAAAGTTAGTTCCAACAGATAATTGATTGACCCTTTTTTTCAAGGGTTCGAAACTGGAAAAGAACCCATTTCATAAAAGTAAGTTCATCCAGAGTTTAAAAATGACAATAAAGAGAAATTCTCAACATACCTCCTCCAAATTGAAGTATGCTCAATTAGGACCCGAATCATTTCATATCTGCCATGAACTTTTCATACTCAGCGTCTGCACCCGATGCTGTCTTCTCTACAGAAGGCATGGGAGGAGGCACAGGAGGATTTGTAGCCCAAGGCACATTCCCGCTGGGTGGTTGAGGTTGATCTGTATTTGATGCAGACATTGGTAACGGATGAGTAGAAACTGCACTATAATAAGGCGAGTAACCATATGAAGCAGGCGGGTAAGAAGGTGGAGCACTTGGTGGCATCGAATATAAAGTGTTCCCATAAGCAGTAGTTTGTAATGGCTGACTAGTAGTGTTTTCAGATGGCAATCCTGGAGGGAAACTCTGCTGAGCTTCACCAGAAGTCACAGGTTGAGATGGAGCACCGGGGGGGACTGTCTGGACCTGAGCATACTGGACGCCGTAAGGAGGCATGGCCTGACCCTGAACTGCCGAGTAAACGTTAGAACCTGGAGGTGGAGGGGGATAAGAAGCATATGGAGTAGGAACCGGGGGTCCCCACGGAACTGGAGTTCCTGTATAACTCGAAGGTGGAGGAACATTCCCAAGAGGACCACCAGGCATAAACTGCTGGGATGGATAGACACCAACAGGCTGGGTGGAAACAGGATACGTGGGCACAGCCGAAGCTGGAGGGACGGGAGGCACGGTAGGCTGCGGTGGCTTTCCTGCAACTCTAACAGCAATTGTTCGGCCCTCTAGACGATAACCATTCATGCTGGCAATTGCATTATTAGCCATCTGAACATCAGAATACTTAACAAATCCATAACCTTTGCTCAATCCAGAAACCCGATCCTTAATAACCTTGGCCATCACAATATCACCAAACGTTGAAAACAATCTAATCAAACCATCATCATCAAAAGTCGGAGGCAAATAGCCTATATACAAGTTCGTATCGTCATATTCCTTTGCAGGCTTCACTCCATTTGCCCCAACGCTTGCTTGTGGTGCATTGCCAATGGCACTTGTACTGTTGTTGGCCCAAGGAGGGTTACTTCCTGAAGTGCCTGAACCTATTGCCAGTGTAGCGGTCTGCTTGGTTGCTGATTCGGGAATCGTACCTCCTAACTCTGCCAAGAAATTCTGATATTCATCGTCCATCTTCTTCCCAGTTGTCCCCTTCACTGGGCAATCAATTGTTGGATGCCCACCATCACCACATATTTTACAAAGGACGTCACTCTTAAATGTCGAAGTCCGCGAGGGGCATGCATATTGACGGTGCCCGGCCTCGCCACACAACCTACAGAATTCTTCATCCCTTATGGTTCCGTTCAAGGCAGCAAGTTCCCTAAGCTGCTGCCTCTTGTGCTCATTCAAGACTTCATCAACAGGCTGTAAGAGCTTCTCTACCATTTCCGCTGCAGCCTCTAGTGATTCCTGCGTTTCAGCCTCAACTAGGACGTGCAAATCCTCGTTCTCTGCGGGATCATGCTTTAGGTCCCTCTTCTGTTGCAGTCTACCTTCTTTTACAGACCCTTTGCCCCTAATTACAATTTTCGCACCAGTTTGCTTCTCCATCCTCTTCTGTGTATTGCCTCTGGGACCAATAATCAGCCCAATAAAATTGTAACCTGGGTATTCCTTCATTGGTATGTAGAGCTTCTTCTGAAGCTTCGGCGGCCTGTAATCTGCTGGCGGTTTAAACGCAGGATTCTTCTTAATTATCTGAGAAATTATCTCTTGTCTCTCCGTGTTCAGTTTTTCTCGGGCACGATACTCCCTAGTATTAATTCTTATTCCCATATTGTCATATATGGGCTCCGGAGAAGGCGAGCGAGCACCTTCAGGCCGATCATCCAGAGGCATACCAGATTGTAGCATTCTACTAATTTCAAGGAGCCTACTATTCAAAGCTTGGATTTCAGGGTCGAACTCAATACCTCCCATAAAGTCAGGAAGTTGAATTACGGCCTTCGGCTCATCATCAGCCCAGCGGGACTTTCTCTTCCGTGCACCGCTCCCAGATTCACCGCCACTCTGATCATTACTCTCAGGCTGCGGGTCCCACCGGCTCCGACGTCGGCGCCTACTCGTGGTCTCTTCTTCGCCACCAGAGAAGTCCTTGTCGGTTCCACTATGAGTGTTCGTAAATCCATTCTCCGACACCAGCGGCCTCTGAATCTCCACCTTAGGCAAATTATTCACACCAACCTGGGAAGCACCAGTCGCCTGGTTGTCGGAATATCCGTTTCCAGAACTAAACCCCTGATTTTCGTTGTGAGCAATCGAGGGGTTTCGAGCTTGGGAATCTTTAATTTCTTGGCCCGAAAATAAAGACGAGTTGTTCTGGTAATCCGAAGCAGCGGGTCCGGCAGTGGGCGGCAGAGAAGAGTCGGGATCGTGGTCTTCAATGTTTTCGGGAGTAGAATAATCAAGAGGATAAGGAACTAGGGTTTCAATGGCGCAATTAGGGTTAGGGTTTGAGTTGAGAGAGTCCATGTGGAGTCGTTGAAGGGGGAGAAGAGATCGAAGAGCAAGAAGGACGATCGTTCCGCAGTTTGCAAGAACCTTGAAGCGTGCGTTTTGATAGGGTACGCTGCAGTTAGGGCCGGTATTTATAGCCCTTCCAAAAGCCGCCACATTAAAAAATAATAATAATTAAATAACGTAAAATACTCTATAAATTATCAACTCGAGCATAATGTAATTTTATATTATCCTAAAAGATTGTATAATCAAATATCACTCATATTAGTAATTTTATATTTAAAAATAGTTGGTCGAGCAATTTTATTTACACCACCGTTAAATATTTGACAATTAGATAGACAAATTTTTAAATAAAGATTTTCTTATAAAAATTAATAAATTTTCAATTTTTTAACTATTGTGAACATAAAATAATTTGATCCTCACTCTTTAGTCTTGTTCTAAATATTATATAACCAAAAATTTAGATCATTTCTAGGATTCATTATAAAAATATTTTGATCTTCCCACTGTGAAATTAGTTAAGATGCATTAACAGGCTTAAAACTTCAAAAATATTTTTAAATTTCACAGTTTTATAAATATAGATAAAACTAATATTTTATTAGCATTGATTTTTTGTCCTTTTTTAGAATCTGATTAGCATTAATTTATAAATTGAATAATAAGTAAAAAACTTGTAAAGTTTCGACTTTTTAATAAGAATATATAATTAGAGAGTAAGATACAACACATAACATTTCTTACCATTTAAAAAAATTAAATATGGTTAGAAAATGATGGAAAAAAAATGATAAAGTAAATAAGGTAGTTACGTGACACTTGAACATAGTTTCAAAATAACAAAATTTCGTACTATAGAGATTAAAAAGAGACCCATCAAAACATGGCTCGACTAATTAAGATGTATATTTTTGACTAAGAAGTCATAAACCCGAATTTCCACATCTACGTATTATTTAACTAAAACTAAATAAAAAGGATGAACGGGAGAGTCCTCATAAAAAAATGTGTAAGTTTCAATCTTTGAACAAGCAGGAAAATACATGAAACTAAAGTGTGAGTATTTACGCAATGAATAAAAGAAATGGGGATCGCTTTCTTATACTGAAGTGCGTACACTCTCCATGGAGATTTCTCTGTAAAACCACACCAACAAGAAGTAAAGAAAAAACAATCAATATCAACTCAAAATAAACTTCTCTCTACAGAACAATTACTCCCAATCCCATAGCCCTTATACAGCAGCCCCCAGAAAGGATCAAAATAAACTAAAGCTGATAATAGGGCAGAAAACAAGAGACAGAGAACTAGCTTACATTATGCATATTGGTGGCTTTCAGATTGGTTGCTTCAGCTCAAAGTCGATGGTGTCACCAAAGTCAATACTTGGAAATACTGAAGCAACGGATTTCAGAAATAGTAAAAGGTACCTGCAAAGCAAAAGAAAATTCACGTATCATTTCTACAACTTCACTTTTGTAACAAGTACCTTTTTTTTTTAAAGGAAAACAATTTCATTCATGGTATGATATTACAAAAGGGATGGTTTTCCGTCCAAGGAAGTTACAAAATAAGTCTCCAATTGCATAGGAGATTTGAAAAGCTATAATGATAAGAAACTTTTCTTACAAGTACCTTTTTTTTATAAGAAAGTAATTTCATTCATGGTATCAGATTACAATAGATGGGTTTGCTTAAATCGATGGCTACTAAATTTAGAACCAAGAAATCAGATCAAAACAAAAGACCAAAAGCATTGACAATATATGATTGTGCAAGGTAAGGAGAATGTGAAATTACTTGCGAACTTCTAGCTCAATCCCACGTGACAAACAGTCATCAACCATTTTCTTCACTGCAGCTCCCTGATATCTTGGGTGTACAGATGCATGCTTCCCAAGCAAATGAGGATGGTCTTCAATAGTTACCTACATATTCAGATTGCAATAGAGTTCTTTTATGGAAAAATTAAATAGCTTCCTTCTGGTGTAGTGATCAATCAAACTTGACTTTTTTAATTACACAGCTTCTGCTTCCTATGCTAATTGGGGTCCCTGTTTGTAGAACTCTTCTCTTTGTTATCTCTTTTTGGGATATCTTACTGTTTTGCCACCAACTATATCTTACTGTTTTGCCTGCGAGATCCCGCCTAACATCTTCAAGAATAAGTTCTGGTTCCAGGCACATCCGATACTGCAAAAATACAACTAAAATGATTGGAAAGGTGAGGAAGATATGGTGTACTTGGGTTAATAATTGTATGATAGCAAGTAGAAACGTGGCTGGCTATTGGATTGCAGATTAATAACATGACGACACATTTCATCAATTGTGCGAAAATATCTATAATTTAATCTTCCTGATGAAGTTTGAGGTCGAAGTCGAAAACATGGGTGAATGTTTTAAAGATGGACCACCTACAAAATTATTTTCTTTCCAGAACTGTTTTCTATATTTTTCATGAAGAAGAAAAGTAAATTGAATTATTGCACCAAATGTGCTAAAGGGATATAGGCAGTGGTAATATAAATGGCCATCCAGGCTGATTGCCGGTGCCAAGACCTGGCCCACCTGGTCATTTAGGTTACAAATTCCTTTTTGAGGGATAGCTTCTGCCAATGGTATGAAACATAATTCATTGTCCTCATTGTGGTGAATAAGTCTTATTTATGGTTCAGTTACAATCCCTTCTCATTTTGTACTACTTTCTACCAGAGTAAAGCAAGCTAAAAGGCAGAGAGTCCTATAATAATTAATTGTAGAACTGTTGAACGGCATACCCACACTGACAACTTTTAGAGATGAAGCCCAGATATGAGGTACATAAATAAAATCAAAGTCAAGTTAATCGGCTGAATCATTACAATAATCTAATATGTGGATGTCAAAATGCATCTTTTTAATATGCAACTTCTTAGGGTAAGAAGGCCTGTTAAAGTCTTCATAATAGACTCAAATACAAGCCACCAACCTATCACAGCCATTCAATTTCAGTAATAAACAGCCAAAACCTGACAGATTAAGTGCAAACCTTATGATATCCAGTAAGCCAAAAACGGGGGGTCTGATAATCTCTGTCATACCTGGAACAACAGGAAATGATGAGATCAACAGATATAGAAAAGATCCATGTGTGACGTGCACCTATAAGAAATTTTTTTCAGATGTATCCTCTGACTAAAATGTGACTAAAACGACAGGTTCTCATATAGAGCAGATTCAACTAATTTTCCATTACAGTACACAATTAATCATCGATAAAGGACCAAAGACATTCAAAAATTATCTCACGTGATGCTAATGTCATAAGTTCGTGGGGATGCGACATCATTGTCTTCAGGCTCATGGACCATGGGGTGAGTAGAATCCTGAGTTCCCTGTGTATACATATGTTGATGACAATCTCAAACACCCAATAACCATCACTTGCATATCTATGGATGCATTGCAATTAAGGACTTACAGAATAGATTCCAATACACTTTTCCATATCAGGAGTATATTCTTTGTTACCAACACCAAAGTACGAATCAGTTAGGAGTGAATGCAAGTTAACCTCCTCCACAGACTCTGTGTATGTTTAAAAATAAAAGAACAGTAATTTAAAACGTATTTAAGATTGATCAATTAGAAGAAATAAGAATAGACGTGAGATATGTTAGATTTCTGGAGCAGACCAGTTGGATTCTCTTGAAAAAGAGGCCGACTGTCATCTTCACCATCATCACCAACAATCATATATTCATCTTCATAAGAGGAAGCCCTTCGCAGACAAGAAACTGAAAAGAAGCTTAGCATTAGTTGGCCACTCTCATAGAAAGACATTCTTTCTATTTAATTTTGTTTTTATTTAAATATGTATGTATGTATATATATATCTTCAAACTTTAATGTTCTGCCAAGAATTTAAGTTTTAATGAATTTGGACATTCTTTCCCATCGTGTCTTAGACGAAAATTTTTCAGTAACTAAGAAAAAAAAAGGACCTTGTTAAGTAGAATGAAAAAGAAAAATCAAGAAACAAATATCAAGTTCTTGGCTAGTGTAGAATGGGACTTACTAGGAAGTATTTTAACTACAACAATGTGGGATTTTGTTGGTCACTAATCGCAAGTATAATCTTAACTTTTGATATTTAAATCATGAATATGGAAGCATTATCCAATTTAAGGGTAAAACCTCCCAAAGAATGGGAACTATCGGCTTTCTTGATGAGTTTAATACATCCAGAGTCCAGAAATGAATAATAAATCAAAAGATAACGCAACTGACCACTTCTTGTGACCAAAAACTGTTTGTGCGATGGTAAATAGGACTTCACTTTGCTCAATTCACCAGAATCCCTAGAAATCGAATGCACGACAGTATTTCCTAAGCAGAAATACTTTCTCGAAAAGGAAACTGTAATAGCATTAAGAGAATCGCGATCTTCGTAAAAAGAAACTAAAGATTTAAGAAAAGCAGAATACCAAGACCAATCGGGGCATTCTGCGATGAGGTGATCGCCGGCGGCGATGAACTCAGGGACAGTGAGGACGACGAGTGATTCTTTGGATTGAGAGATTTTGAGAGAACTCTTGATCTTCTCCACCATGCCTTTAAATCCTTTGAGCCAATTAGCCATCTCTGTGTTCTGTTCTCTCCCGCGATTGGGAAACTTGAAATGGCGGGAAAGCGAGAACTCTCAAAAGTCAAAACGGTCGATTCAGAATTTAACTTCGCGTTTTTGTGAATTAAACGAGCCGTGGACTGCCCTTTTATATATGCTTAAAAATATGAAAATCATTGTTTTTTAGTAAAGTCTAAATCCCAACCCACAATTTGGTTCTATTAAAAAAAAAAAAACCCAACAATTTATCGAGATATATATCTTAATCAGTTAATGGAATCATGTGTAGGTTAAAAAAATCATTATCTTTTACCATGATATTTATAAAAATTAGCATTTTTTATTAATAGAACTCTTTACCGAGCAATAATAAGTATATTTATCTATTGAGTCACATTAGTCAAATCAAACATAGTTGAATGGGTAAGTCTACTAACTCAAAATATAACGTAAAACATATAAAAAAAAAATATATAGTTATGGTATATTTGAAGAAGATGTAATATTTCTTAAAATACATATTAAATTTACGTTGAGGAGTAATCTTTTTATATTGACGACTTCCGATCTAATTATCAAATTATAAATTAATGTTTTAACTATAATGATCAAATATAAAAATGTTTTATTTTATATTTTAATATAATGTTTTCTAAAATACCATGGTATATGAAGTGTAAGTAAAATGAAAATGTCTAATAAAATAACAAACCTAATATTATTCAAAATATAATAATTGATAAATGCAACGAAAGAAATAAAGCAAATGAACATGAAAAAAAAGGCCAAATGGAAGACGTGAAAATAAAACACGAGAGACTATGCTAAGAGAGATATCATCCTACAATTCCAGCAAAGTCTGTTACATTCGCTCCAACTTTTTCATAGTTTTCTCTTGCACCCCTTGGAGTTGCCCTAAATATTCTATATTCTTTTGTCAAAAACGGCTTATAAAGTCTCGCATTCCCTTCCCCAACGACCTCGCTTGGTGCATATATCTCTTTATCATCTTCAAACGACCAAATGAATACCATAGAGAATCTCTTCACACTATTTTGCCTCAAAACAACTCGATGCTCTGCTGATCTCAACTTCTCGTTGCTCCAAGCATGCATAAAATCTCCGATGTTCACCACAAGAGCATCCTCACAAGGCTTTATGTCCATCCACTCTCCTTCTTTGGATCTCATTTGAAGCCCACCAACATGATCTTGAAATAGAATCGTCACGCAACTAATGTCGGTGTGTTTTCCAAGTCCTTCGACTTCTTCTATTTTAACATTTTCGTTGGAGTCTTGAGGAGAGTAGTTGTTCATCCTCAAGTAGCCATCGCAATTACTGAACTCAGAATCATAAAATTTGTTTTCGAAATTATCCCCCAGAATCTTTAATAACAGCTTGACTATCCTTCTTGATATATCAGTCATTTTGCTTCCATATTCCTTCAATAGGTTGCTGCAGACAAATTCAACCCATAGAGGGAGATTAGTTTCAGAAAAAATAATAATAATAAAGAAAATAGAAAATAGGTTAACAAACTTGCCAAAAGAAAAAGGGGGGCTCAGTTGTTTGTTTCTTTGATTTAATTAACCAGCAATGAAATCCTTTTGAAGATAAAATTAGCCACCAAGTAAAACATGCCTTTGATAACTATAATAATTTCAATTTTCATTTTGGAAATATAATTTTTTTTTCTTTATCATTTTCAATATTGAAAAATGTTTGACTAAATGATGGGACTCAAATACAAGCTCTTGAAATCGATAAAATGGGACAGAATTTATAATCTTGACTTTAAATTAAAAAAGAATTAAATAAAATACATTTTTAGTCAGAAAGATAATCTGAACTTAATTTCTATTCAGCCTCTGAATTTAAAAAAGTCATCATTTTTGGTACTCCCTCGAAATTTAAATTTAATTTCAGAAGTGATATAATAAATTTCTGAAGTTAGAATTTAATTTTTATGTAGTCTCRAAGATTCAACTACGACACGAATATAGTTCAATAATAATATTCATCTTCTCAAAGTTTGGAGGTTCGATTTCACCMTATCCCAAATTMTTGTACTAAAAAATTGCGACCCCATCCGGAGAACAATTAGAAATCCACCCAACCTGAATTCCGCATCGTGTTTGCCGAGGAGCGTTTCCGTCAAGTGGTGAGCAGATGCAGAGAAGTCCGGTCCCGAAAATTTGAAGCTCTCGTAGAAAGGCGACGCAATAAACCTGGGGATGTAGCACGAAAATCCGACTTTGTTCTTGGTTTCGTGGGGAAGACAAAAGAGTTGATCGGCGATGGAGATGAGTTTCTGGTAAAATTCTTTGGAGACGCCATGGTTTCTGATGTAGAAGAATCCCCATTCGCTGCAGGCCTCTGAAAGAGAAGACAATGCCGATTCACTCAAATCCTCATAAACATCGATCACTGGGAGCTCCACGGTATAGCTTTTGGATTCCGACATTTCTCTCAGTCTCTGAAACCCTAGAAATTGAAATTGGAAATCAAARATTCAAAATTATGAGTGTAAGAGGCAAGTGTTTCTGAAGATTCTGATTCCGCGAGACATCGTGGATGTGAAATTTGAAATTCTAAGAGATATATATACACGCACACATATAAACCGGTTCGGTTCTTGTTGAAGTACCATTTTATTTATTTTTTAATTTTTTAAATCTCTCATTCTATTCACGTGTTTCACGTTGTTCACGTGAGTGTGACTCCTTTTTCTTTTTTAATTTCTTTTTAATCATGTATTTAATTAATTTTTCTCGATCAACTACTCCACTTCYCTTGCATTTTTTTAAAACTACTATTTATTTCTATGTTTT